CCCTCAGCTGTCCCCTCATCACAGGCCTGGGTCCCCTCCCCTCAGCTGTCCCCTCATCACAGGCCTGAGTTCCCTCCCTCAGCTGTCCCCTCATCACAGAACTGGGTCCCCTCCCTCAGCTGTCCCCTCATCACAGGCCGGGGTCCCCTCCCCTCAGCTGTCCCCTCGTCACAGGCCTGGGTCCCTTCCCCATGCCCTGGCTCATAGCTGGCCAGGCAGGAATGCTTTGACATTTTCCCCACAAATCTTCGTTTCCGTCCCTTTGGGATCCCTGGAGGAGAGCTGGGCCCTGGACGTGGATGGGCTCCAGGTGCCTTTCCCCCAGATCCGCCTGCCGTCCCGACCTTTCTCCTCGCATGGCCATGAGCGCCATGGCTGCCCAGTGCCTGCCAGGACTGGGAGTGCTCCCATGGAGGGCAGATCCGCACGTTACACCCCAAGGAGTGAGGGGGGTTGTGGTGCCTGGCCAGGGTGAGGATGGGCCACGGGGCTGCAAGGTCAGGGGGCCGCGGGTCGTGGGGCTGCAGGTTGTGGGGCTGTGGGGCTGCAGCACTGTCTCGCTTCAGAGGGCCACAGGCTGGCACGGCGGGCCCTGCTGTCCCTGTGACTACCCCCCACGGTGTGCCACCTTGGCCTGTGCACCTGCCCCGCCTCCAGCGTCAGCCCCCAGGAGGGCACGGGCAGTACACCTGGACGCCGAGCTGGACAGGGCGTGCTTGTCCGTTCCCAGGACTCAGCGCTGGCTCCTTTTTCTGAGGCGGCACGCTGCCAGGCGGGCACAATGTGGCTTTCACAGGTGTGAGGCCAGTGGGACAGGTGGGCCAGCGCTTCCAGGCAGCTGGGGCTTGACCTGCGAGCGCCCCTCCCCTGTCCTTCCTGCGCTTGCTCTCCATGCCTTGCCCCCTTCCAAGTCCCCCTGGGGATGTGACCCACCTCTCTGCGGGGCTGGGAGGGGGCGAGCCCGCTGGTGTCAGCAGGAGGGCGCCCATGCTTTGTGCCACCCCTGCCCACCATGTGGCGGGATCACATCGGATCGAATCTGCCCCCTGGTGGGTCCTGGGTGCGCCCATCGGGGTCAGTGGGGCGACACCACCTCTCGGTATCTGGAAGGATGCCCTGGAAGAGCCGACCCAGCCCCCAGGCCTGATGGCCCCCGAGCCTTCTCACTGGGGGGGGGGGCAGAGGCAGAGGGACCAGAAAGCAGGGGGGAGGGGAGGGGCTGGGGCCTGAGACCACTCCCTGCGGGGGCGGGTGAGCCCAGGCGTGCGGTTAACCCACATCCCCCTGCGGAAGCGCCGGAACAGTAGTTCCTTTTTGTTTTTCTCTTTGAAAGAATGTCACCAGTGATGTGAACAGAGATGCCTGTTATGGAGGAGGGGGGAGCCTGGGTGCGGGAGGGGGTGCTCAGGGAGTCAGAGAGGGGACCCTGAAGGGCAGGGAGGAAGCCTGAGGGATGCAGGGTAGCCCCCAGCGCCCCCTCCTCGCGTCTCGCCCGGTGGCAGGCGGTGCAATATCTGACGTTTGCATTCCAGGGCCCTGCAGGTGGAGAGCCCACGGGGACGGGGGACCAGGGGCCGCAGGCCACACAGCGCTCCTTGGAGCTCCGACTCCAGCGGAAGCTGAGGGCCGCCGCCAAGAGCATCCTCCGCCTGCAGCAGGAGAAGGAGCAGCTCGTGGAAGCCAGCAACCGGCTCCGCGCGGGGCTGGGCCGTCCCCGGGGTGAGTGGGCGCAGACAGGGTGCGGGCCGGAGAGGGGGCCCACCACGTGACGCCCCAGCCGGCGGGGGCCGGGTGGGCTGCTGGGGAGAACAGAGCAGCCCCTTGTGGAGCGAGTCCCGGTCAGAGTGGAGGCTTTTGAGAGCCGGCCTCCGTGACCTGTGTCCTGGCAGCGGTCACGTTCCCAGGCCGCCGCCTTCCCAGAGAAAGGCTGCAGTGTGCTCCGAGGGCCACCGCTGCTCAGGCTTTGGGAATCGCAGCGTCTGAGCCGTCGAGGAAATCGCATTCCCGCAGAGGACTCGCCAGTTGTCTGGGCAGAGCCTCGGCGAGGCTGGCGGATGCGCTCTTGCGCTTCACCCGTGAGTCTGTGTGGTTCCCGCAGCACCGCGGGCAAGGGCCACCATTGCTTACTTTGGTCGTCCTTCTTCCTGTGACCTCTGTCCACACCCCCTTTGCAGACGCAACACAGATTTCCGGAGAGCTTCCAGTTGTTATGATGAGCCTCAAGTGGGGGGCCCTGGGAGAGGTCAAGGGCCCAGGAGCCATGTCCACAGAGAATGTTCTAGAAGCAAGGTCCATGTGGTTTCACTGCGTTTTGGATGGACAGTGTTCTCCTGTGTCTCAGAAGAGCTAAGAGCACTTTGAAGGGACATTGGTGGTGGGCATCTCTGTGCTGATCCTGGTCTTGGCTTCACTCCGGCCGGCCACCTAAACTGTGGAGCACTGCAGAAGAATGAGCTTTTAGGCACCAGGGGGAAAAGCTCCCACCAAGGGACGGGGAAGGTCAGGAAGCTGTTCTCCTCTGGTCTCTTCCCAGGGCTCAGCTGCACAGACAACAGTTGTAGGTTTAGTGTTTGACACGTGTGGCCTCGTGTAACTGCCACAGTGAGCAGGGTCGGGGTGGGCTGGCATCAGGGAGAGTCCAGGGCGATGGTCGCTGGGCCTCGAGGAGAGCGGCGTGGACGGTGGCCTGGAAAGAGTAGAAACGCATCGTTTGTGTCCCGCAGATGTTTGCTGCATGGCCACTGTGTGCCGGAGACTCACAGCTCACGAACCTTGTCTGTGAGGTTCACCTGAAGGGTCTTAGAGACCGCTGTTAAACAACAACCTTTCGCGTTTGGGATAATCAGATGAGACTTTATCTTAGGGGCCATGTCGTTCTGAGAACCTACCCCACCCCAGAAAGAGGAATTGCAGAGGGCTCTGTGGCAGGTATTCCTAGAAGACGTTCTGTGTGTGCGAACTGAGACAGGGCGTGGATTGTCCTACCCACTCCCCGTGCAGCCACCAGCACTCAGCTGCTTTCCCCACCTCCTCCTGTTCCAGTTGAGGGCAAAGGTGGGCTTCCCCTGGCCCCTCAGAGGCACTTTTAGGCTGTTTGTCTGCCACTTTCATGTGAAGCCTTGCTGCTTTTAAAAGGCAGTGCCATCTGCCCACACTCCTTCCCTCGTCCCATCTGTCACCCTCGACAACCATAGTGACTCCAGCAATTGTGGCTCCGTTTTTCTCTCTTAATTCTGCTCTATTCTGTCATCTTCTAAACCTGCACCCCTCCCACATCTGGACCTTACAGCTCTTTGAACTTGGCTTCCATGCCAGGCCTGCCAGTGCTGCCAGTGCTGGGGGACCCTCTCTCAGCTCCTGAGGTCCCAGTCTCTTTCTTCCATTGCAGCCATACCTCCCTTACGATCTGATCCCGCATTCCAATGAACTGCCTTTTTTCTTCTTGAGGCTTCCTGTAACCAGCCCAGCCTGTGGCCAAGTGTTTGAGTGAATCATCTACCCTCCCACCCACCTACCCATCCATCCATCCATCCACCCACCCACCGACCTACCCATCCACCCACTCATCCATCTACTCATCTATCCATCTATCCATCTATCCATCCACCCATCCATCCATCCACCCACACACCCACCTGTCCATCCACCCACGCATCCACCTGTCCATCCACCCACCCACCCACCTGTCCATCCACCCACCCATCCACCCATCTATCCACCCATCCATTCATCCATCCACCCACCCGTCTACCTACCCATCCACCCACCCATCCAACTACCCATCCACCCATCCATCTGCCCATCCATCCACCCACCCATCCACCCATCCATCCACCCACCAGTCCACCCACCCACCTACCTATCCATCTATCCATCCATCCATCCATCCACCCAGCCATCCTCCCAGCCATCCATCCAGTAAAGGAGCACCTGCTAGGTGCCAGGTACTTCCTGCCTTCTGCCATTCCCCTGTCACCAGGCCCCAAACGCGGCTAACGCACTGTCCTCTCTCCATCTGTGCCCTGGCTGTCTCGGTGTCAGAGAAATCGCCAGGTCCCCAGTGGTCAGGTCACAACCTTCTCTGAGGTGGAGCAGTAAACATGACAAACTTCTGTCCTTGGTACCAGTGTTACAGGTTGACTTTTAAGGATCGTGTCGTTTTCTTCTGTGGTGATTTGTCTGAGTTTTCTGCCTCTTGGGTCACTTTCGGACACTTACAGTTCACTCGAAAGCCACCCTCTCCTCTAGCTTCAGGGCATGGCCACAGTGCACGCCTGGTGGTCTCATAGCTCTTCTCCTCTTCGTGGGGCCTGCAGTGTCCCCCTCGTCCGTTCCCTAGGGCTCCCGCAGTTTCTGTGTTAGTGTTTCTGTCTGCCTGGGTGTGCTGTGATGTGGGGTTCAGCTCTTGCTGCGCCCCCCGCCACTGTCCATGCACACGCTGACTCAGTTAATTGCTGCCACAACCTCAAGGAGTGAGGAAGGCTCACCTATGAAAGATAAAAAAAAAAGTACCACCTCCTGGACGTCAGAAAGTCCACAATCAGCAGATTTGATCTCATTGCGCTCATGCGTTGCTTAACGTCCACGATACGTTCTGTGAAATAGGACATTTGATGATTTGGGCGTTGGGCATTGCCCCTAACAGCACTGTCTCTCTGTCTTTAAAAGCCTTAAAGGCTGGCATTAACTTGGCCTCCTTACGGGTGAAGGTCCTTTCAGGCATTCACTTCCACAATAAGGAGGCTTCGTCCGTATTAGAAGTTTGCTGAGGCAAATAACCTCCCTTTACAGTTTTATAAGTTTATTGCAAGTTTCAACAAATCCTCGTGCTGCCTTCCCTTCGGCACTCACAGGCTTGCCTCTCACTTTCGCATCATGCAGGAGAAGCCTCGTGTGAAGGGCTTGAACACCCAGAGCTGGCACTGAGCTTGACATCATGGTCTGCTCCTGCTGTGTCTCTAAGCATCTCAAACAAGCTTCGTGCCTTAGCAGTGATGTCAGCATGCTGAGAGGGGTTTACTTTTGTGTTAGCCTTGTAGCTTTCAACGGAGCCGCTCCTTTACTTGAAGAATTTTTTCTTTGTTTTTGAGGGTCTTCATGACTGTCGAGTGTGACAGACCTAAATCGCGAGCAGTAACATTCACTGATTTTCCACCTTCGTCTTGTTTGATAGCCTTTTGTTCCCCTTCCAGATAGGTGCTTCTCCTTTGCCACTTGCTGCTGCTGTCACTGGCTCTGGTTTTGCTGCATTTGGGAGCCATGATGCAGTTCCTGGTAATATTTTCAGGAGAAAATTTAACAGAGATAATGCTGTAACACTAAGGAGATGCACGGTAGTTGAGGCTGGATGCTGGTGCCGAGTCGAAGGATGTGTTGTTATATGGTAAACTTTTTATCTGTAGGGAAAGTTCACGTGAAATCATGATAAAAAGTACAGGACAGCACATATATAAGCCAGTAACGTAGACGTTTCGTGTAACTATCAAGACATATGTGTTGTAGGTTATATGTGTGCGGTACCATTACACGCCTGACAGCGCAATCACTTCGTATACAAGAGACATGACATACGTGTATCGCCTGTGGGAAGCTGTTGTGTTCACTATGTCCAGTTATGTCCGCTACATCCTGTTCTCCGTTCCAGATTTCTGAACTGTGCTATAACCTTACAGGACAATGGACGCATATGCGACCAGACATCGCCCGAACGGTCGTTACAAGAAACATGACTGCACATTTTAAAAGTTTCTAAGGAAAAGGCGTCGTAAACAAAGATGAAAGATCAATGACAGACTGAGAAAGATGTTTGAGCACGTTTGACAGATAAAAGGAACTAACACTCCGGTCACAGAAAGTGAGGCCTGGGTGGCGAGTGTCAGAGAGACCTGCGTCCCTGACGAAGAAGCTGTCACAGCCCTGGGCCGAGGAGGGCAGTGACGTCGACGGCCCACAAGGCAGCTTGGTGTCAAGGACCACATGGGGACACGCCACATGTTGGCTTAACTGGTGGAGCCTTTTGGGGGGGGTGCGGTTTGGTTGAATCTTTTAAAGTTTTGAATGCTCATTGTACTTTTGGATCAGCAATTCTTCCCCCAGAAATCTATTTAAAATTAATCTCCCCAATACTTTTGTCGCAGTGAAAACACCTAGAAACGGTCTGGATGCCCGTCGTCAGGGCGTAGCCGCCAACGGGAGCCGTCTCCAGGGACGCCCCTCAAACTAGTTGCAGTGATGGCTGGCCTCTCCCTCAGGTCCCAGCGCACTGTGGGCCGACACGGTTGCTGATCGCCATGAAGGTGGCGTGGCTGTGCCTCCTGAGTACAAGAGCTCCCACTTACTCATTCTCGCTTTCCGTGTCAGACACTTCTGGAACAGACCCCGTGTGGAAAAGCCGTGGGGACACACGTCTGCGAGGCACTGGGCCGGGCAGTCCCCACAGGAGAGAAGCAAGTTGCAGAAGAGCGTATGTTTAGAGAAACAGATGTACCAAAGAGGCGTGCGTGCATGTGTGTGTGTGCATGTGAGGGGGCATGTATGCCTGTGAGGGAGCGTGTGTGTGTGTGTGAGGGGGTGTGTGTGCCTGTGAGGGTGTGTGTGTATGTGTGAGGGGGCGTGTGTGTGTGC